GCATGCACACATGGACATATGTATGGTGGTGCACTAAGTCTCCTTGCATCACAGGCCATGCTCTCCTGACGGAGGAGTTCCCAGAGAGCTCATGGATTGTAGAGCCCTTTGAATTATACAGCTTTGCTGAATCTACCAGTGGGGAAATTCAGAGATGACGTCCAACCTTTGCAGGAGAACCTAGCCTCGTGTTCCCTTAGAAGCACCCTTTCAAATGACATCATGAGCACCCACTGTGGGCCAGGCTCTGTGCTAGGTTTCGGGGATCAACAGCAAATAAGATGAAATAAATTCCTGCCTATATTTGACCAATTAGCCAAAACACCATCAAATTGTTATAGGTGTCATGAAGGAATCAGTCAACTAAGCCAGGGAGTACAGGGTAGCTGGGGGGTGATTCTCTAAGCAGGTGGTATATAGATCAGGACCTAAAGAGTGAGGAACTGGCTACAAGCAAAGCGTAACAAAGAACTTCTACAGAGAAGTGTTGGTATGTGCAAAGGACCCGAGGTAAGAAAGGGCCTGGTGAGTTTGAGAGTGGCTGACTTGCAGTATGTGGGTAGCACTGGGTGATGCTGGAATCCGAGGTCCCACGGTGTAAGGTCTGTAAGCCTTAGCAGAAGTCTGGATCTTCCTGTAAGGCGGAGGGAAACTGGAGGATGGGGTTGTGCACAGAAATGACCAGGTCAGCTTATAAATGATGGCGCCTGGACTAGAGTGGTGGCAGCGGAGATGGGATAAGAGAGGGTGCGGGGAGGGGAGGTCCGTGCCCCCTTCGCCCATTTGGTAGCGGAGCTGACTCTCCCCTTTCTGGTTACATGGGTCATCTCCGGAGCTTCTTCCTCTGGGGCAAAGGGCCATCTCTGGGCCTGACAAACCGGGAGCCCATGAGAGGCCCATCTGAGGAAACAGCCTTCCATGGTGCCACTGCTTCCTCTCCAGGAAACAACCCCTGGACCAGCTGAGACCCGCACACCTTCAGGGGAGCCTCTGCTTCCTACAGAGCCCCAGTTCCCACACTCCCACAGATTGCATCAGTCTTTCCTCACGATAATGCTGTGAATGAAGGCAACTTGTGTCTTTTAGTTGAGGAGACTAAAGCATTTAAGCAGAATTCGATCCTAATGTTATTTGCCTTTGTGCTTTAAGACACTCCCCAGGCTTATCCCTGCCTAAGGAAGAGGCTTGATGCTCTGTGTGCCCCCGCTATTTGTACAGACATAGTTAAAAATCAGTTCTGCTTCCTGGAGTGGGCCTAACCCTCAGAGTCTCTCTCCCGCTCAAACTGAGCCAACATCTGGAAGACACATGGAGGGAGATCATTAAATTACCTTCTTTTTTTTTTTTTTCTCTCCCATAATCAGGAAAAGGAGAATAAGCAAAGTTCACTCCCCCAGACTTTTTCTCAGGCTCCTGGACAATCTTCCCAAACTAAGAACAATATTTTTCTTTCATTTTAATTTCAACCAAAGAATCACATGGTTAAAACAATAATGACCCTGCTACATACCCCCTCTATTGAATCCTGCTCTCTACAGCTCCATTAACGCCCATGTCCATTTCTGGTTCTGTTCTTGATTATGTGTGTATCTCTAGAAAGCATGCCGATACTACTGCTTGGGTTATCAGATTTAGAATTTTATCTCACTGAATTCCTGCCATGAAAAACAAGAACTGATCTCACAATGGCCCTCTTTCCTCCACCCACCTAATTTTGACAGCTCATCTACTGCAATGGCTCTCAAACATCAGCGGTATCAGAATCAGCTGTTAAACCACATATTGCTGTGGCTCAGGTCTGAGACTGGACCCAAAATTTTCACTTCTTATAAGATCCCGAGAAGCTGACGTCGCCGCTTTAGTGAGCACACTTTAAGAAACACTGCTCTACTGGTGACTGCTGCAATTTTAGGCAATAAACAGCTATTTCTTGTTTCATCAAGTTTTGCAATAGTTCTTGACAAACCAATTTGAAAGATTAAGTGATTAAGGAGACCTCTGTCATTCTGTTTTTACCTCTATACAGCCAATTTAATGCTTTTACAACTTACACTAACCATAACTCTGATTTGGGCTTGGCTGTAAATTCTGACAACCAATTAAGGAGCATTACTGTTGGGCTTCCTTGTTTATATGTGTGTGTGTGTGTGCATGTATATGTGTGTGTGTACACACATGTATATGTGTGTACACACACACACATATAGATATAATTTTTTTAATGAGCATTACCATTATGGCTTCATAGTTGCTTTTTCACAATAGAGCCAAGACAAGTGTGATGACATAGCTTTCTGTAAAGTGCAAAGTTAAACTGCTAGAAAATTAAACTTTTACTTAAAGGAGGGTATTTCTTTTAAGTTCATTGGTCCCTACTTTCAGTCAATCTATTGTTTATACTTGCTGTCATCAGACTGCTGGTAGTTCCACTGTTTCCTGTATCCTCATCTTCCTCTTTTGCTACCATTTTGTTTCATGTGGAGTGACCTCAGGTAATTTCCTTGGAAGGATTAGTAGGGAAGCACATTTTCTGAAGTCTTACTTTTCTGACAAGTGACTTTATTGTTACTTCATTCTTGGTTATTAGGCTAAGTGTACAATTCTACTTTCAAAGAGTTGAACTTAATATGATTCTAATAATCTTATATGCTAACACACAACCCCAATACCACTAAACTATACTTCCTGTCCTAGAACTTTCTGTAAATCTTAAGAGCAGTGACATTTCAAAATGATATATCTAAGACATTTTGGCTTAGCTTGTAAGTTGGTAAGTCCTTTAAATTAAAAAGTGTTTCCTTTTAACTCTGGGGACTTTTATTCTATCATCTTCTAGTTTCTTTTTTATTTTGTTTTTCAGGTATTCCAGTTGTTTTTATATAGGACCTTGTAAATTTATCCTTTTTTTTTTTCTTAAATCTTTCTTATTTGTATTAGCTCTGCTTCCTGGGAAAAATCCTATCATTATCTTCTAATATTGCCACTATATTTTTGGCTCTGCAATCACGTTGTTAATTTTCAAGAATCCTTTCCTTATACTATGATTCTTCCCTTTAAAAACAAATCAATCATTTTCCAGTGGGTGGAACACAGTCTTACATCTCATGCTTACTACAGAGTTTAAGGTGGTTTTTAACTGATTATCATCTCTTCGATTTCCTGAATAATTTACTTCCAAGTCAGTTATTACGTTGGTTTATTTCATCTCCCCCGCCCCACCGCACACCACATTTCTCCCCCAATCTTAGGTTTCCTTGGGTTTTTATAATTCAGAATGAATTATAAGGACTTACCGGGAAACCTGTGGGTATGTTGGGTAGCTGGTGGGAGGGGAGCTAGTTCTTACACTGAGATGCCAAGTATCAAATGCAGCAGGGCTTTTCCTTCTGGGGAACCAGCCCACCACACCATGTCAAGTGGTTTATTCAGGTCCTTAGAGAATAAAATGTCTGGCCGATTGCTCTTCTGCAGCCTGAAGTGTGCAGAGACAGGGGCAGGCTTCTATAGAAAAGCGGCCTCCACTGAGTGCCCCTCTCCACTTCAGCCCCTAGTCCTGGACTAGGGGCTGTTCCTGTGGAACTGCGGCCTCTGTGACCCCACTGTCAGCCCTGGCCAGATGCCTTTTTCACTGCTGCCCCACCCCCCTGCCGCTGAAGTGAGTGCTGGTAGGTAACAGCTCCATTTGCATCCTCCTCCAGAGAACTGGCCTCCTCTGAAGTGTATCTCCCTCAGGAAGAGCTACAGTCCCCTTCCACACCTCACACACCAGCCAGTGGTTAAGTAGGGGTACAAAAACCAGCTCCCTGACTCAAAGAGCAGACAGCTTGACTGTAAATAATGCTTCAGGGTCAGGTCAGAGCTAGACTTTAGTTGAGACCACATCCTGGCTAAGCCCCTCCCCCTCCTTTCCTTATAAGTTAGAGACCTCACTTAACAACGTGATTCCAAATCCCTGTCTCAGGCTTTGCTTCCAGGAAGCCTGATCCAAGACATATGGGAGAGAATTTGGGAGAAAATGGGGATGCCTTCCTCGCTACACTGAACATGTGGATGGCTATCCTGAACCCCAGAAACTTCTCTGCAGCTCTCTGCAACTCTAATTTCCAATCAGTGGGTCACTGACCTGCTAATTTGCCCCTAAATGCAAAGCAGTGAGAAGAACCTGAAGGCTGGGGCTGGCAGATGGTTCCACAGCTTGTCTCCACACCTTGCACAGGAGTCTAGTTTAGCCAAAAAAGTTTCTCCTAACCCTCCCCAGGACCCAGACCTGGGGTGATCCTGGGTGTTAAGGAAAGACTTAAAACAGACTTGGGGGCGCAGATTCCTTGCTTATTTTCCTGCACAGCCATCAGCCCTGCAAATCCCACAGATGGCCCAGGGCAGACAGGCTGCGCTGCTGTCCCGAGTACCCCCAGGCTCACTCCCTCCACCTCACATGGCCTCATGCAGCCTGCACCTAACATCATTCAGAGCTCCCCGAGAGCAGTGCATGCAGGAGCCCCCGTGTGCCAGGCAGGATGCGACCCATCTGCACTCCAGTCTCTGGCTTCCAGGAACCGTGGGTGGGGCATTTCTCACTCAGCCACCAATTGTAGCAAGATGATGTTCCTGCTTCTTCACCCACAAATACTCCCACTGATAAACCACAGACTAGACACTTACTCTATGCTGATATCAGCTCTGGAAAACAGTCAAAGAAAGAGGACAAGTTAGGGACTAAGTGGCCAGTTCATGACTACAAACAGATCATCATTTTCTAACCACATGAGAATAGTCTCAATGTGTGAGGTTAAAGCGTGTGGCTCTTAGAAGCAAACCTCCCTAATCATCTAATCATACATTTCATCATGTTCCAGGTCAGGAAAAAGAGGTACAGAGAAGGGGTGTGCCCTAGCCATGGTCTCCCAGGCAGCCAGGACCTTCAGTGCTGGCCATTCCCCACCATCGTCTGCCATCTGTCCCACCACCTTGGGGGCCAGTAGTGAGCTGTGAACTTCTACCTGATTCTTCTGGGCAATCTTCTGTCCCTTTTTCCAGCGGAGCACTGGTGTCAGAGCCGGCAGCTCTCTCGTCTCTTCTCCAACCACATGCTCTCCCAGGCTGTAGGCAGCTTCGAACACAATGGGACTGATGACATCCTGCACCCGCCGCTGAACAAGAAACAAATGTGCGTTAGTCACTGAAGTTGCCTGACAGGGCCTGTCTCTGCCGACAAAGACCTTCCCCACGTGCTCCTCACAGGAGCACTCCGCACCTTGGGAGGTAGGGTCTTAGTGCTGTCCTATTTCTGTAGAGGTAACTGAGGCAGAGGGTGGTTAATGTGCTATACGAGGTTACTCTGTTAATGAGTAGGGCTTCTCTCTTTTACCTTGTGTGGTGCTAAATCACCTCGTCCTTAGCATATGGGAGACATTACTCATCTTCCAAATATTCTTCTAAGCTCATTGGCGGCAGCAGAGCTCTGCATTCTCAGTACAGCACTAACCCTCTGCATTTGCGTTTCGATGATCAAAGCTCTTCTGCACTGAGAGTCATATGGACCTTGTGGTCGGGGTGGAAACCCAAGGACATGGAGGAAACTGGCATCTTCCCAGAGCCAGTCATCAGCACAGCCAAGGACAAAAGTCTGACTGTAGCCTTGTGTCTTCTTTGAAACCCAAGGATTCCAAGAGCCAAGGGAATGATGGGTTGATAGTCACAACAGACAAGGGTGAGGGAAGGGAAGAAGGCAAACAGGCACAGTGCGAGGTGCTCTAGAGAGATGATAAGCACCCCCATGCCCATGAGCTGGGGTTTATTATCCACTGTTGCCCAGAAAAAGAAAATGAAGATCAAGTTCCCAGAGTATAAACTGACAGGATTCTTTCTGACACCTGTTAAACACTGGAGTTCTTTACCTTTTTGTATAACTTGTCACTACCACCTGGGGTCTCTGAGACCCCCAGGCTCACAAGCTAGAATCAGAGGCAAGAGTGAAGGGTAGGTGGTCTCCATGCTGGGACAGCATGTTCTATGGGAGGAGGGTTTCCCAGTGGAGTGGGGTGGGTGAGTCTGAAGTAGCAGCAAAGCGCTGAGTCTCCTGCTCTGCCTCAGTCATCAAAGGGACAAGGGAGTAGAGAGGTGACAGCCACAGGGAAGCAAGCGTGGCTTGTCAGGGAGCAACCGGGGCAGGCAGAGGCCAGCACCGAGCATGCGCAGAGCCAAGGGCTTCAGTTTTGTGGAGTCTGGAGCAGAAAAGTGCTCTGCTAAACAGCAGCAAGTCCTAAAGTTCCCAAGAGTACACCGTGAGTGCTCCTCCCCCTCCTTGACACGCAGCATCCTTCTCCAGAGACAGACTCGACCATCAGTCCTAGGGCCCCGACTGGTCCAAGCATGTTCGAGCATGTGGTAGCTCACGCTCGCCGCCTTGGCTCTCTCCACTTAGCTGCACCTTGGAAATGGCTCCAGGCCAGCACGCAGAGCGCCAGCATCGCCTTCCACATGGTGCGTCACTACGGACCACTCACACCAGCCAGTGCTGGGACCCAAAGACACTGTAGCAGGGCATGGGTGGCAGCCCACAAATAGAGGACATGCTCCAGGACAAGCTCTGTGAACCTCAATTCCCTGGGTGAGAGGTGCACAAATAGGCCCATGATCAAATAAATCAAGGGTACACTGGATTAAGCAGTGTTGAAGAGGGTTATTAACCCGTTTGGCTTGCTGTTTCTGTCTTCGCTGCAATTGCCTTAGAGAATGATCAAAGTGGAGCCAGTCTCACTGGGCTGGGGAGCCCTGTGCTGCCTGAAAGAGTCTCAGGGCACAGGTGTGGGCAGGGCCACCATCAGAGCTGGGGGTGGGGGGGGGGAGCAAGGCTGTCTTGACAGAATATAAAGATTGTCAGGGGGTGTGGAGAGCAGTGAATGAGAATAATTGTATAATCAGTGTTTGTACAAATAACTACTTTAGTGTTTCTTTTTTCTTTTCTTTTTCTAAAGGTTGACTGTCCTAAGGTTTGCATATAAATCCTGTGTGGTGGTGTCTGTTAGGATGTGGGGTCAGGGTTGAGTATGGAAGGGAGGGAGACCAAGGCATGAAGATTTGCTGGCTGTCACATGCATTCCCCAGGCCAGGCCAAGCCCTTCACACAGGTGAATCTATGTGACAGCTGAGATGGGGCTTCCGGGCCGTGCTCAGAGAGGATCCTGCAAATACACTGCCGTCCATCCCCAAGCTCATGCATGGTATAGCAGAGTCTATTTTAGAGCCAGAAACAAAATATTTTTTTTCTGAAAAATACAACTTAAAAATGACCCCAGGCCCAACCTGGTGGCGCAGCGGGTTAAAGCATAGCACTGAGAAGCTAAAGCCACTTCCGCATGAGTTCGATTCCCACCTGCCCTGGAGGAGGCCACATGGCGCAGCAGACCTCTCCTGACCCACTCGCTGCTCCCCTCAGCAGTGTACTTCGTCGATCTGCCTGTTCTGCTTCCTGCTCTGTCTCTGGTGAGACCTCTCACCACCCCTGAGCCTCTGGCCTGTACCCCAGTTCTGTATGTACAAATAAATAAATCTTTAAAAAAAAAAATGACCCCAACTCTCTAAGGTTCTGACATCACCCTGAAATGGTACCTATTTACTTAAGAGGCTACGGGGGGGGCAGGGAGGGGGGTGAGGTGGAGTATTTTTCAAACACGGATCAATGGGAATAAATGAAAATAACTAAGAAACAGCATGATACTGTGGAGGGAAAGTTCAGCCACGGCAGGCTTATTGGGAATGAATAGTGAATTGACATCTAGCGGTATAGAGGTTGTGCTGGCACTGATTGCATGAGCCTGTCTTAACTAAGAAGTTTGAAAAGTCTCTTACTGCAGGTCTGGGTAGCTTTGGGCAGAAGGGATCTGAGCCACTCAAGCTAGATGGAATAGAGGAGGACTCAGTGGCTAGAAAGAAGCCCCTCTCCCCGACCCTGCACCAAGAGGAAGCCCCTCCCTTCCACACTATGATTGTTTTATCTGAGCTGCAAAGGAAAAGTAGCAGCAACATTTGCTGATTTCCAACATTTCCAACATTCCCGGAAAAGCAGCTACCCTCACTCAGCACTGCAATTAAGTAGAAGGATTCCTTAGGACAGAGGAAACTCAGGGTTCTGCACAGATGGTCACTGTTGAAATTTTACTGGGTAAATAAATTGCCACTACAAACAAAAGCTCTAAAGTTGAACAGTTATTCTGGCAAATGAAAAGCCAAGAATCAACCTTTTCCTGCTAAAAACCAACAGGAGTCTCCAGTTTTTGAAAACTGAAGGAGTTGCCAAGGAGAACAACCCAGATGGGTGGCAGAATTTGCCATGGCTGAGGTTTTATGGGAAATTTAACATATGCTCGATTTGAAATTTACCGGGTGCTTACTATCTGCCAGGCAATGTTCTGGGCCCAGGCAGACAGAGATGAAAGACCGTCAGGAGAAACAAGCAAACAATGATACTCTAATAACACACACTAGGACAGAGGCATGGTAAGAACACAGGTGAGGGACACATGGCTTGGACGGAGATTGAGGCCTGAGGGGGGGGGGCATCCCAGGGGAGGTGCCTGTAGGCTCAGTTGTAAGGCAGAAGAACTTGTCAGAGAACAGGCACAGCTGACTTAGCAGTGTGGACAAGGCATGGTGTGAACAGTAGGTAACACGTGAGTCCCGAAGACAAGCAAGTCGGGCTGTGGGCAAGAGTAGAGGGAGCGGAGACTGAGCAGAGACCAGATCTCAAGAGGGACTTACAGACTGTGCTGACTTTATCCTAAATGCAGGGAAAAGCTGGTGGGGGTGGGGCGGGTTATGAGGTGACACTATGGGTGGTTTTACAGAAAAATCCCCCTAGGCTTCTTAGCTGAAAAGGGTTGAGAATGGAGGAAAGGAGGCCAGTAAGGAGGCTGGAGAAAGTTGTGTTCTAGAAAGATCCCTTTGGATGTAGCATGGAGGTAGATCAATGGAGACAGGCCTGTAGACAAGCAAGCCAGGGAAGAGCTGCTACAGGGGGCTTAGGGGAACAATAGGGCTGGGGCTAGAACTTGGTAGTGGGACGGAGAAAGGGGGAGGGATGTGAAGGGGACTGAGGAAACAGAGATGACAGCACTTGGGGATTAGAGGAGAGAGAGATAGAGATGCCCCAGTGTTGTGTCCAGTGAGAACCAGGAAAAGGAACAGGTGTAGGCGTGGACACTTGGAGCCTTCCTATAACACAGAATACCCTTTTCTATCTCCTAATGTTTACCTCAGCGAGGAATCTCCCTACACCTACTGTTTTGGGCCTAGAGCCCCATACTTCCTTTTCTACAAAGCTACTTCTTATCCAGTGTTCAGGGACAGATTTCCCTGTAAGGCTGGGAAAGATCGCCCAGGACCTTCTGGGAGTCTAGATACTACCAGCTCCCACCTCACCTTCCCAGATGGACTTTGTCCTCCTGCGGACTACATTCTCCTTCTTCAGCCCCCTCACATAGCACAGGTGTCCTCCAGGGCCTCTAAGAAGGACCATGTGGCCTCAAAGGGTCTGCTGAGGGAGAGACCCTGGGAAATGTGCCCTGGCCCTGTCCCACAGACCCCTGTCCCTTCATGGAGCACCCTCTGGCCATTTCCTGCTAACTAAGTCCCTTGCTCTGAAAAATGAAGCAGTGCCTGAGAAATTTAGCTGCGGGGACCCTGGCACACGATGGTGGGTATCACCCAGCCAGTTTCCACTAGAGGTGAAAACACTCTGCCCTGTTGAACTAGGGAGTCTAGGCAGTTGCCAGTATCAGAAGTGCAGCAGTCTTTTGGCACCTTGCTGTGGAACTATGGGATTTTTTTTTTCAAAGATTTATTTATTTATGTATACAGAACTGGGGTATAGGCCAGAGGAGCAGGCGCGGTGAGAGGATTCACCAGAGACAGAGTGGGGAGCAGAACAGGCAGATGTACTGAAATACACTACTGAGGGGAGCAGTGGGTGAGACAGGAGGTCTGCTGCTCCATGAAGATCACCTCCGGGGCCGGGGATCAAACTCACACCAAAGTGGCTGCAGCTAGCTTGTAGTGCTGTGCTTTAATTCACTGCGCCACCAGGGAGGGCCAGAACTATGGAATTTTTAACTGGTGAGAGTGAGTAGTATCCAATTCAAGACCTCCCTAC